GGCTGTATCTCGGTTTCTAGATGAGCTAGAAAAGTGGTTTCTGGACAGACTTGAAGGTAGTTGTCTGGTTTTTATTGGTGCAGATTCTGGAACTCTCAGAAGTCTAAAAATCTGGGATTTTTTGAAGATTCTGAAATTCTAGAAATTCATAAAAATCGAAAATTTGAAAACAGCCTAAATTTCCTTTAATTGCGTTCAAAAATCATCTTTCTAGCTTATCTAGGAGCCGAGATATAGCGATTTGAAGTTCTCGTGGCTAGAGACGCAGCGTGTCTCGTCGTCTGGCGTCTCTAGCCTCCTGGAACTTCAAATGGCTGTATCTCGAGTTCTAGGTTAGCTAGAAAGTTGATTTTAAGACATAATTTAAGCGAATTGGTCGTTTGCATTCCGAGATTCCAAAATATGAAAAATCTAAAAATTTGAAAATCTGAAATTGTCTGAAAATCCCAATCCTCTCCCCTCTCTTCTGCTAGAAATTGCTCGAAATCCATCCCCCAGTGTGTGTGCATTCTCCCCTCTCTATTGTTTCAGCTGCTCCAGCCACCATCAGCTCGGCTGGCATCCGAAGAGAAGGACTTGTCATCGTATTCTGATGACCAACACGCCGGCGACGTCACCACGTCGGCTACAGTATCCCTGATGAATACTAATTCGCCGTCGTCGAATAACAATAATTCGCTGACGAATTCGGCGAACGTGAGGAGAAAGAGTCAGGTAGGACACAGAGCTACAGTAATCCTGAAAATTTTGGTATTATGAAATTTTGAAAAAGTTGGAAAATCCGTCTGGAAATATCTGCAATTTTTGAAAAATAGACTAGAAATAGATGAGAATCGATTTTGGATGAAAATTTGATCTAGAAATCACCAATTTTGATGTGATTTGTAACCCAAAATTTCAAATTTCGCGCCTCGACTTGTCCACGAGGAGTACAAAATCCAAAATCGAATTTTCATGACTTTGGGGTCATTTTGAGCTTAAAAACAATGAAAAACCTGATTCCCAGTGATTTTACACCGAGAAAACGAGGAGTACAAAATCGAAAATCTTTGAAAACCTCCATTTTCTCGAATTTTAATGTTTTTTCGTCAATTTTGCTGCGGAACAACGAAAAACACACAAGGAAAACCATTTTTGAGATGATTTGTAACACAAAATTTCAAATTTCGCGCCTGGACTTGTCCACGAGGAGTACAAAATCTAAAGTTTATCAAAATCGCCAATGAGTGATATTTCAATGATTTCTAGCTCATTTAGAGCTGGAAAACACCAATTTTTTTTGAAAAAAAACACAGATTGCTCATGTTAAAATTTGCATTTGCACGATTTACTGATCCTTCTGTTTCTCCTGAATTTTCCCCATATTTTTGGTTATCTACAGTAGTCTTGGTGTGTGTGTGTGTCTGTTTGTCATAATGTCCCTGGATTTGTAAAATTCAAAAAAATCAAACTCAATTTTGGCTCAAAACTACCGTAAAACCTGTAATAGATGGGCACCCTACACTGTCAAGTTTGAGCTCGATTATCTCAGCTCTGATAAGAGATATCAAAAAGTTGTCAACTGATAAAATGTCGCTAATATTATGATAAGAATTTTATCAGTTGGCAACGTTCCGATATCTTGCATAGGAGCCGAGATGAAGAGCCCTTCTATTACAGGGTTTTATTTTTTGCTTCCAAAAATTTTTTTTCTTTTTTTTTCATTTTTTTTTCAAAAACTCATATAGTGAGTAGTTGCCCGATGTTCAGTTGTTCCCCATATTCCAGGGTCTCTCGATATCTCGTTCGAATCGCCGCGCGACAGGACCAGTCAACGCTGAGGACTTGGCACCGACGATGGGACTTCGACTGGCGACCGCCCAGGTACCGTACTCGGCTCGATCCACGGCTGCTGGCACGCTGCCAACTATGTCGACGACGTCACGACTGTCGACGTCGTCGTCGGAGAAGGCGTCGAGTCTGCCGCCAGGAGGAGGAGGACAGACCAATGGGATTACGGTAAGAAGGATGGATCTATAGATATAGTGGTGGTGGAATGAATTAGTTGAAAATAGAATACGCCGAATTTCAGATTTTTAGAATTTTTTAGAATTTTCGAAAAAATCCCAAAAATGGTCAAAATTGGATGTGCTTCGTGCTGCCACTTTTGGTCTGAAAATTGCATTTTTTCGGAATTTTCAAAAAACTAGGTCATGACCTAGAAATCCAAAAAAACTGGGTCATGACCTAGTTTTTTTTCATAGGAATTCTGAAATAATGGCTTCCAGGCTTCATTTTGGTCCAAAAAGCAGTTTTCTAGCTCTCCTAGAAGCCGAGATACAGCGATTTGAAGTTTCGAGAGGCTAGAGACGCAGTGTGTCTCGTCGTCTGGCGTCTCTAACCTCCTGGAACTTCAAATGGCTGTATCTCGACTCCTAGATAAGCTAGAACATTGGTTTTTGAACCAAAATGAAGCCTGGAAACGAAAAATTTAGAATTTTTGTAGAAACTTTTCCAGACAATCTAATTTCAGCATTTTTCGACAGCTCTGAAAACTACGAAAAATTTGAAATTCGGTTTTTTTTGGTTTGCTTCCACTTCTTTTTTTCTATCATTCTGTGTTCCTTTTTTTTTCAAATTTCTGAAAAATCGGAAATTGTCCTAAAAAAATGCTCCAGAAAGATAAGATAAGATATGATATGATCGTTGATCATATTGACACACTCATACACACAGTGTACTGAGAAAAACGATACCCCTAGACTTTACACTTTTTACTTCTTGAAAAATTTAAAAAACTCGATTTTCAACGATTCCTAACTTCTAAACTCCAGCTCTTTTAAATCAGAAAATTCAAATTCCGCGCCCTCGACTTGTCCAAGAGGAGTACAAAAGCTGAAATTGAATTTTCATGATTTTGGGGTCATTTTGAGCTCAAAAATCATGAAAAACTGATTCCTAGCTACTTTGAACTCAAAAATCAAGTTGGAAGCTGATTTTTACCCCAAAAATTCAAATTTCGCGCGCCTCAACTTGTCCACGAGGAGTACAAAATCCAAAATCGATCACAACCCCCGATTGGCGGAATTGCAATGATTTGTAGTCAATTTTGACGATTCCTATAGATCTTATACCGGAAAATCGATTTTCCAGCTATATTTTACCTCAAAAATTCAAATTTCGCGCGTCGACTTGTCCGAGAGGAGTACAAAATAGAAAGTCTCAGCTTTCTTCTAAAATTCAACGTCTTACAATTTCTAGCTTTTTTACGATAAACAATCGAGTCGCAAGCTGATTTTCAACCCAAAATTTCAAATTTCGCGCGCTCGACTTGTTCACGAGGAGTACAAAATCAAAGATCAGTCGAAAGCGTGCAAAATGCAATGTAGTATTGTGTGGCTCTTGAGATTTTGAAACTTTCTTTGCTGTTTTTTTTTCTTTTTCTCTGCACTATCTCATCTTCCTATACTATTTCGCTCTCTCTCCGAAAACAAATAAAACGATTTTCGATGGGGTTTTTTTGGGGCGGGGAGGTGGTTAGAGGTGGGGATCAGGCCTCGGCAACAAAAATTCGGCAATTTCGGCAATCGGCAATTTGTTGCCGCACAGGCCTGGTGTGGATATGTGAGATTGCAAAACTTTTAAAAAACGAAGCTTTTCTCTTCAAAATGACAATTTCTAGTCCCGCTGTTATTCTGCGATCGTCCAGATCGCGACGGCTACATTCGCGACCGTACCAACAGGATAGAATGCGATCGTTCAGTACGGATAGGGTAGGAATTTGAAAAATCCTGAAAAATTGATAATTTTCGGCTTAAATAATGCGGAAATCGAGCTTTTTAGGCACAAAATGACCCCAAAATCATGAGAATTCGATTTTGGGTTTTGTACTCCTCGTGGACAAGTCGAGGCGCGAAATTTGAATTTTCATGAAAAAACAGCTCCGAATTTGAGCACAAGTCGTTGAAATTCGACTAATTCGGCGTTCTGATCAATTTTGAATTTTGTACTTCTCGTGGACAAGTCGAGGCGCCAAATGTGAACTTTTGAGTTGTAAATCAGCTTAAAACTCATTCTTTTCGGTGTAAAATAGCTAGAAATCAGTTTTTCATGATTTTTAATCTAAAAAAGCATCCAAAATCACTGAAATTCAATTTCAGATTTTGTACTCCTCGTGGACAAGTCGAGGCGCGAAATTTGAATTTTTGAGTTACAAATCAGCTCAGAGCTCAATTTTTCAGTGTAAAATCGCTAAAAATCAACTTTTTAAATGATTTTCAGCACTTAAATCTCCCATTTTCTTCAGCAAAGTACGACTCAATCGCTCTCCTCTCGAAGCGCCGTCGTCGCTGGGCTCTCACCGGCTCCATCGATGCGAACACCGATTGGTCCGCTATCGAACACCACTGCCACGTCGACATCGTCACGATACATGCCATCGTCGTCGCTCTCATCGAATGGATCGTCGGCGAATAATCAGCCGATTTATGGATTGCAGGTTAGGTTGAAAATTAAGTAACACTGGGGGGGGGGGGGGAAATGTTCAAAGTGTAGGCGGCCTAGAAAACGAATAGGTGGCCTAGGTCTTGCAAATAAAAGAAGAACGAGGTTTCTAGGCCATCTAGAAGCCGAGACACAGTCGTTCGAAGTTTAGGAGGCTAGAGACGCCAGACGACGAGACACTCTAACTGTCTGCGTCTCTCCTAAAACTTCGAACGACTATATCTCGGCTTCTAGGAGAGCTAGAGAATTAGTTTTTCTTGCCGAGAAACATCCGGTTTGAGATTGATTAGGTTAGAATTCAACTTCATTGAACATTCGGTTTGTTTTTCAATTTTGAAAAATTTTCAAACTCTTGAATCTGAAATCTTGTTGTTGATCAAAACACAGCTAAAATTTCCTACAATTCTGTCCAAAAACGACATTTCTAGCTCATCTAGAAGCCGAGATATGGCCAATGGAAGATTAGGAGGCTANAGACNCCANACGACNAGAGACACTGCGTCTCTAACCTCCAGAAACTTCAAATCGCTGTATCTCGGCTCAAAAGTGTCCGATTTTGTTCGTTTTTGTACTGTAACATCTCGGGTTTTTCAGTTTTTCAAGATTCCCAATAATCTGAAAAAATTTACAAGTTCGAATATCTAGATTTAAAATTTTTTTCAATTTCAATTTTTTTTTCGAAATCACAAAATAATTCGCGCGCAAATAACAGAAAATTGTATTCAATTTGGTTCGAAAACCAGCTTTCTAGCTTTTCTAGGAGCCGAGATATTGCGATTTGAAGTTTCAGGAGGTTAGAGACGCAGTGTGTCTCGTCGTCGGGNGTNTNTAGCCTCCGGAATCTTCAAATCGCTGTATCTCGGCTGTCCGTGCTCCGATTTGATTGGTTCTTGGCTCAAAATGTGTTAAAAACATTATATTTTGTGAACATGAGCGTTTTTGACAAATTCAGAAAATTTGAAATTCCGAAAAATCTGAAAATCTGAAAAATGCTTTCAGTCGCGCCCAACGGAAACGAATCTCAACTACAAGGCGCTGTTCGAGAAGGAGCGCACTGAGTGCGAGCGTCTCCGGCGAGAGATGGACGATATGCGGAGGTCGCAGACGATTGAGGTGATTTTGAATTTTTGAAAATTTTCTTTAAAAAAATTTTCGAAAAAAATTTTTATTTTTTTTTGAAAATTTTTTTTCGAAATTTTGGGATTTTCAAAAAAATTTAAAAAAATTTTTTTTTTCAAATTTTCTATAAGTTTCAGCCATGGCGCGGATCATCGTCTACACAGTCACCGGCGTGGCGTACGCGCGGCGCGTCTCCATCGGCCACCACGATTCAGAATTTGTCCGTCGCCAAATCGACATCACTCGCTTCTTTCGACGAGAACGAACGCAGGAGTATGGAACGGAAAATTGCGGATCTGGAGTTGCAGTTGAAGGTGTGAAACGCCGAAATTCGGAAAAATCGCGAAATTTCGGTCTAGAAACCTCTTTTTTGGCGTTTCTAGGCCATATTTGGCCATGACCTAGTTTTTTGAACTTCTAGGTCATGACCTAGTTTTTTGGATTTCTAGGTCATATTTGGTTTTCTAGGTCATGACCTAGTTTTTTAGATTTCTATGCCGTGGCCTAGTTTTTTGGATTTCTAGGTCATTGTCTAGTTTGTTGAATTTCTAGGCCATGGCCTAGTTTTTTGTTTTTCTAGGCCATGACCTAGTTTTTTGGATTTCTAGGCCATATTTGGGTTTCTAGGTCATGACCTAGTTTTTTGGATTTCTAGGCCATGACCTAGTTTTTTGAAAATATTCGAAAAATTCCAATTTTTCATTTTTTTTGCTGAAAATTAAAAATTTTTTTAAATAAAAAAAATTGCTAAAATTTCAAAATTTCACTTTTTTAAATTTTCGAAAAAAAAAATTTATTTTTATAATTTTCGACGTTTTTTAGGAATCACGAAAAAAAATTACGAAAAAAAGTTTTTTTTTCCAAAAAATAGGTCATATTTGGATTTCTAGGTCATGACCTAGTTTTTTGGATTTCTAGGTCATGGCCTAATTTTCAGATTTTTCGAAAATTTCAAAGATTTGCAATTTTTCTTCCAGACCACACAAAATCTTCGAATGGAAAATCAACGGTTGAAGGAGGAGAACGGAGCGCTGGTCAGGGTCATTTCGAAGATGACCATCTAGAACATTCTATGGAAAATTTATTTTTTATTGTTTTTTCTTTTTCTTCTCTAAAATTTTAAATTATTGATTTTTCCCTTTTTCCGCTCCTCCTCCTCTTTTCGTTTCGGGACCCATCATCATCATCATTTTTTTTTGTAAAAAATGCAAATACGCTCTATTGAGAATTTTCTCTATTCTATACTATTAGTTTCTATTTTTTTTCAAAAATTTCCTCGCTCACCGGGATCATACTGTACACGAACCAATTTTTGCATATTATTTGTTCCCCCATTTTTCCCGCCAAAAAATGTGAATTTTTGGCCCCGCCCCCCCGCCCCCACTTTTATAATCAATTTTTCTTTCGTTTTTTCGTCGTTTGCCGGATATGTGCAATAATTATTTTTGTCTCCCATTCTTCTGATGAGCAATCTATGCCCCGCCCCCCTCTCCCTATCATCATTTTTTCTCTGTCTGAAAATGAAGGAATTTTCTCAGATTTTTGGTTTTTTGAAAATTTTGAAAATGTAAAAAATTTTAAAAATTGGAAAAAAATTTTTTTTGGAAATTTTGATTTTTAGCATTTTTTGAAGAAAATAAGTTTAAATTGGCAAAATAGCGGACCAAAAGTTAAAAGGGCGTTTTTCGGATTACTGTAGATCACTGTAGCGTTTTCTAGTTTCTGGATTTTCGGATGTTGGGTTACTGTAGCGTTTTCAATTTTTTTCGAATTCTCAAATTTTCTGGATTACTGTACTTTAGGATTACTGTAGATTACTGTAGCGTTTTCCATTTTTTAAATTTTCGCGGCGTTTCAGGGTTACTGTAGATTCAGAAATTTTTGGATTTCTAGGCTATTCCCTAGTTTTTTGAATTTCTAGGCCATGAGTTTTCTCAGATTTTTTTTTGGATTACTGTAGTTCAGGGTTACTGTAGCTTCTCAATTTTTTTTTGAGTTTCCCAACATTTGTGGATTACTGTAGCGTTTTCCATTTTCGATATTTTCGCGGCGTTTCAGGGTACTACTGCAGATTTAAAAAATTTGAGATTCCAGGATTACTGTAGAATGTTTTTTTTGTAGATTTTCAAAAAATTTTATTGAAAATGTTTGAAAAAGTCTAGACAATTCCAGAAAAAATTCACTTCCAAATTTCAGCCAACGAGTCAAAGTGGTGCTGTGTTTCTTCCTGAAAAATTTAAGTTTTTTTTGAAAAATTCGAAAAATCGGTGATGAAGATTTGAATTTTCGAAATTTCTAGAAATTTGTGGAATTATCGAATTTTCAGATGATTTGAACTTTTCCAGAATTTTCAAGTTTTTTTTTGAAATTTTTGAAAAGTTATATTTGCATTTTGTGTTTGCGGAATTTCCGCAAACACCATTACGCCAAATTGCGGACAAAGCAAAACACCTACAATGACCGTAAACGTCAATTTCTTCCCATCCAATCCCATGACATCCAAATTGGGCCTGTCCGCTTTCGGACCGATTTTCGAATTTCCAAATAGCGATTTCCACTTTTTATGCAAATCCGGATGCGATCGAATCGCCCAACAAAATGCGATTTTACAAAGCACCGCGCATATATCGTAGATTTGGGAGATTTCGTTGCCTGGAAAAATTTTTTAAGTTTGTGACCTTGAAAATGCTGGCCTAGGTTTTGCAAATGGAAGAGAAACCAACTTTCTAGCGCTTTTATGAGCCGAGATACAACGCTTCAAAGTTTCGAGAGGCTAGAGACGCCAGACGACGAGACACGCTGCGTCTCTGACCTCTGAGTTTAAACAGCTATATCTCGGCTTCTAGATGTGCTAGAAAGATGAAAATTCAACAAAAATGTTCCAAATTCAGTGTTCAATGTCATCATGAAACAGAAAATTGAAATTTTGAAAAAACATTTTTTTTGAAAAAAACCATAAAATTAATTTTTCCGAAAATAGGCTAAATTTTTTATAGCAAATTCGTTTGAAAATCACCTTTCTAGCTACTCTAGAAACCAAGATACGGCCCTTCAAAGTTTAGAAGAGACGCAGACGGTTAGAGTGTCTCGTCGTCTGCGTCTCACGCCTCCCAAACTTCGAATGGTAATATCTCAGCTCTAATATGAGCTAGAAGTACGAAAACTTTTCAGAAATGAAGAAATTATTTTTTAAAATCTTTCAGAAAATTGATATTCTCAAAAATCCAAAAAATCGATTTTTCGCATTTTTCGAAATTATGACAACATTTATATCATTAGGTACGGCGAACAATTTTACGTAGTTCTGTCAAAAAAGGACACAAATTGGACGGCTACAAGCCGAGTTACAACCGTTTGAAGTTTCGGGAGGCTAGAGACGCCAGACGACGAGACACGCTGCGTCTCTGACCTCGCTAATTTGAAATGCTTGTATCTCGGCTCTTAGATGAGCTAGAAAGCTCGTTTTTAGATAGAATTGGAGGAAATGTTCACTGTTTTTCGATTATTTACAAAGTTTCTAATTTTAAACGAAATAATACCCACCTCTCCCAGTAACCAATGTCATTACAGAGATTCGCTGACTTTCTGGAGTCTCCCTCACAAAAATATAAACTATAACATTAACGGAAATTGTCAATGTTGATACGATATTACTGATTATCATCACAACGATGACTGGAACTAGAAGGGAGATTGACTTGACGTTTTCGGAGATCTGGAATTTTGATTTTTTCGAAAAATCTGAAATTTCGAGTTTCAAATTGTAGATTTTGAAAATTGAAATTTCGTAGAATCCTGACTTTTCTAAAGCGTTTTCTATCATTTCCCAGAATTCCAGAAATTTTCAGAATCCGAAAATTTCAGATTTTCACATTTTCAGAATTTCAGAATTTCTGAATTTCTGAATTTCTGAATTTCTGAATTTCTGAATTTCTGAATTTCTGAATTTCTGAATTTCTGGTTTTCTAAATTTCTGAATTTCTGAATTTCTGAATTTCTGAATTTCTGAATTTCTGAATTTCTGAATTTCTGAATATCTGAATTTCTGGTTTTCTGAATTTCTGAATTTCTGAATTTCTGAATTTCTGAATTTCTGAATTTCTGAATTTCTGAATTTCTGAATTTCTGAATTTCTGAATTTCTGAATTTCTGAATTTCTGAATTTCTGAATTTCTGAATTTCTGAATTTCTGAATTTCTGAATTTCTGAATTTCTGAATTTCTGAATTTCTGAATTTCTGAATTTCTGAATTTCTGAATTTCTCTGAATTTCTGAATTTCTGGTTTTGTGAATTTCTGAATTTCTGAATTTCTGAATTTCTTGGATTCTAAACTTTTTTCTAGAAAATTTCAGAAACTTCTACAATTCTAAAATCTCTAAAAATCCCAAAATTCGAAAACTAACTTGATAAATTTCTGTTAAACTTGTCAATTTAAAGCTCCTCTGTCGGAATAGTGTCCTGTTGAATTTCACCATTTTTCGAAATGTCTGAAAATTTGGATTTTCTGAGTTTTTCCTAATTTTTTAAAAATTTGAAAAGTTTGAAAAAGAGTCTCTAATCACTAAAGTACTGTAGCTAGGCTCCTCTCATATATATCAAAATGGTGTCAACTGATAAAATGTTAAGCTTGTTATCAAAAAATTTTATCAGTTGACAACTGTCTGATATCTAGGAATTGAGATATAGGAGCTCAAAGTTAAAATTTTGAATTTTCTTAAATTTATGAAAGTTCTCTCTAACCTACTTCCGGCTGNNGCCTGTNTGNNTNTTGGGCGAAAGTTAAGGGTTTGCCGTCTTTTGAGCGAACTATGAGCACCTTTTTTTTAAAGCTTCTTTTTTTGTATGTTCTTTTTTCATCATTTTTTTGTATTAGTTTTCATAATTGTTTGAATAAATCAAATTTTCTCATTGAACTAGTCTTCCAAGAAAGAAAAAAAAACTAATTTAAGGCGAACCCAAGGCAAAGGTGGAAGGTTTTAGGCGAAAGCTAGGCGAAGTTTTGCCAGCTTTTGAGCGGCGTTTGGCCACTTTATGGGAAAATCTTAAGCGTAATCTGGCTAAACAGCGCACAAAAGGGGGCCGACTTTCGCCCAAAAGACGACAGCTGCAGCCGAGTACCAAAACCGCGACAATATTCAAACAAAATCCAGCGGCCACAAAAACGCCAATCGCGCGTGCAGTGGAATATTCGATTTGGCATGGTAGCCTAGGATAAATCCTAGGCGTCCCCATTAAATCCAATTGATTGGCAACCACAATCAATAAACCATAGGACCATTGAAATCCCGTCAAAATGAATCCCGACTGATAGCAACTTTGCGTTTCGTACGATTGATACAAAAATGAAGCTAAACTTCGTTCCATGACAAGGACGAAAAATGAGAGACCACTCGCGCCAAGCACCCAGTGATGCAGGGATTTCGCTAGCCAACAATAAGTGATAGCTGAAACAAGTTTAATATATTGTTGGATTTCAAAAGTTCCAAGAATTTGACAGAATTTGAGCCAAAAACCAATGAATTCGGAGCACGGAGAGCTGAGATGGAGCCATTTGAAGATTCGGGAGGCTAGAGACGCCAGACGACG